ATATATATATATATATATATATACACATACATATATATATATATATATATAGTTTTTCTGTGTAAGTTTCTTTTTAACTGCACTGCTGTTCTGGAAGATTAGCTGTCATGCTTTGTGTCTGCAGGTTGTCAGGGTGTTTGATCACAGACGAAGCTTGTGGTTCTCTCGTCTCAGCTCTGAGCTCCAACCCTTCTTGTCTGAGGGAGCTGGACCTGAGCTACAATCATCCAGGACAGGAACAAGTAAAGCAGCTGTCCGCTATACTGAAGGATCCATCCTGGGGACTCCACACTCTTAGGTATAGAGAAGTCTTTTGCAGCCACAGCCAGTCTCTGATATAACAGTAATAGATGACAGTTCTTTCTGTCCTTTATTCCCTCTGGTACACTTGCCTCATTGCTCGATGTGTATATTTGGACATCAAACATGTATGAGCTCCATCAAAAGAGTTAAACTAACATATTAGTCACGTGAAATAATTAAGCATCAGCATTTGACTTCATCTAATTAAAATACATTGCACTGCTATGCTGCTGTTTGTGACCGTTACTGTTGAAACTGTGCTCCCTTAAAAGAATAAGGGAGCACTTATCTTTCACTCATAGTTACTGGTTGGGGAAAGCCATTTATTAAACAACTGTGTTTGCCTGTTTTAAAAATCTTACTGAAGACAGTAAGACATGAAGACAGAAAATACCAACATGACCGTGATTCAAATTTTACATACCCTAGTTCTTAATAAATAAATAACAACATGTGGATGTGTAACCCTCCAAGAAGATGCTTCACACAACGTTCACAGACACGCTGGCTCATGCAGTGTAACGTTGGCCAAATTTGTTTGCTCTAAAGGTGGAGTGCTTCTTTCTAAAAATGCTCATGAAGGATTGTGTGATTGTTTTTTTATTTAGCAACTAAAGTGCCTACAGGCAGCTGTTGTCATGACTGGCACTTTAAAAATATAATTCAGTTGAACTGATATTAATTTAATCACTGGTCAAATCACTTGTTTAGTCTATTTGTTTGTTTTATAAATTATGGACTCATTTATTAAACAAACTATTTTATGAAACAAACAAAAATATATCAGTACTTTGATATAAATAAATTATAATAATTTTAAATCTATAAGGCCGTGCTGAATCTATATGGTGAAGCTGTGCTGCCCATAATATGTACCTTTCAGACCACATCACCGTGAGTTAATTTTGGGGATTTTTTTTTTTAAATACGTTTCACACAAACTGAAGAGTAAAGTAAATAACATGCTTACAACAAAAAAGTCAAAATGTCTGCTCAGCCTGCAATTTTTATAAATATGTTGGACTGTTCCTTTATCAGTGTCTAACAGTATGTGTATGACAGTGATGTAATGTCCATGTGTGCCTGCTGAAAGAGACTGTGCTGGTCTGACCCCCCCTCCTCCTTTCAGGGTGGAGCCTGCTGGAGTCCGATGGTTGAGACCAGGTCTGAGGAAGTGTAAGTGTGTTTTTAATGTGATTCATGAAAACAAAGCAGCACACATTCAACCATGTTCAAACTGTCACATCACTCATTCACATCTCTGATGTCAGGAGTCATCATCAAAGTGTCAATCAATGAACAGATGACGGACCAATAACTGCAGCTGGATTGTGTTTGTTTCTCCATCAGATTCCTGTCAACTCACAATCGACACAAACACAGTACACACAAACCTCCAACTGTCTGACAACAACAGGAAGGTGATGTTTGTGTGGGAGGGTCTTCCATATCCCGATCATCCAGACAGATTTGATTGCATCTGTCCTCAACTGCTGTATAGAAATGGTCTGACTGGTCGTTGTTACTGGGAGGTCGAGTGGAGAGGAGGAGTTTATATATCAGTGAGTTACAGAACAATCAGAAGGAAGGGGAGGACAGGCTGTGTGTTTGGAAAAAATTATCAGTCCTGGAGCCTGAGCTGCTCTGATTATTGCGGTTACTCTGCGTGGCACAATAAGCAAAAAACATCCATTTCCTCCTCCTCTGTCTCTAAGAGAGTAGCAGTGTATGTGGACTGTCCTGCTGGCACTCTGTCCTTCTACAGAGTCTCTAACACTCTCATCCACCTCCACACCTTCAACACCACATTCACTGAACCTCTTTATCCTGGGTTTACGGTCTCATTTGGTTCTTCAGTGTGTCTGTGTGTAGTTTAGTATGAATAGTCTTGTTGAACATTTCAGTCAGTACATGTCTGTCTCTCACAGTCAAAAACATGTTTTCAGATTCATGGATTCAATCAGTTGATGGTTTAAATGATGATGGAAACTTCAGTTATTGAAAAATGGAATCTATTATTATCCCAGGATTCTTTTTTTTTGTATGTTATGTTTCTCTGAAGTTTAGTTCAGCTCATAATCTTTATATGATACCTCTTCATTAAATAACCATAATAATAGCATCAAAATTTGGAGACAAAGCTTCTGAAGTATAACATTGTTATTCAGATTTATAAAGAAGTAAATTTCATGATACTGCATCAGTGACCCAGTATTTGTGTTTTTCTGATTTCATTTATAATGTGGGATTTAGTATTATTTATGGTTCAGTTTCCTTGTTTGTCCTACTTGTTCCAGTAGCGTTCCTAGTTTAGTCACTTGTATTTCTGGTTTTGAGTTTTTTATCTAGTCTGTTTCACTTTTTGCCTCCATGCATGTTAAGTACTGTTTCCATGTTTATTATTGTCTCCCGAGTCACTGTGCTTGCATGTCTTGAGTCTGAGTTTATGTATGTTTCCTGTTTTATTTTGATAGTGCTTTGCCCTGTCTTCATTTTTGCTTCCTTCCTGTCTCATTGTGTCTGATTAGTCCCAGCTGTGTTTCCCTCCTGTTCCTCATTCCCTCCTTATCCTTTGTGTATTTGAGTCCTCTGTTTCCCTGGCCCGTCGTCATGTCGTCCCACTAGCTGTGTGTTTCTCCGTGTTCCTCGGTTTCCTCGCAACTACTAGTTTTGGATTTTCTTTCTTATATCCTGAATTCAATTTTTTCCACAGCGCAATAAAGCTGCCTCCCTAAGTTCACCCCTTTGTGTTTTTAAATTCAGCCTCACCCTGTTAGATAAGGATATGAACTTTTTGGGTAAGTCAGGCTTTCTGATTCAGGGTTTGTGTATGCTCACCTGAAAGGTAGCATCTGTTCTCCTGTACAAAATTAACTGATTGAGCACTTCCTACTGCAAACACAGTAGTATAAAGAACATATAAATAAATAGTAAGATTTAACACTTGTGCTGCAAATACAATTGTGATTTGATCATCACATATAAAAAAGCAGGACAAGAAATCTATCAGCTCAGTTAAACACTATATTGTTGCTCAGTGCAATGTCAATACTGATGTTTATTTCTGACATGGCAGCTGCACATTACAGATCTGAAATATTGCACACACCTAAACATTAAAGGTTACAGTGTGTTTATCTCTGGTATTCTCCCATAGCTTAATAAAGCAGTGTGAAAATCACTTCAAAGTGAATTTAATGTTATTTATTCACAGATATTTCTATAACATCATCAACCAAATACAGGCAAAAACACTTTGTACTGCTCCAACTTTACAGCTGAGCTTCATTTGGTTGTACTAGGTTCATGTTTTTCATGATATAGTAAAATATGTCCGTAGAAACATGTGACGTTCTGTTGTGAATAAAATATGGGTTTAGCAGATTTGCAGATGATTGCATTTTATTTTTATTATATTTTCCACAGCGTCAAAAGTTTCGTGGAAGTGAGGCTGTACTATAAAACTGTAAAATTATTATAGATATATTTGTTTAATTTGGTAGAATCAAACATGATTTGAAATAATTTGATGATAGTCACTAAGGAAATGAAAAGGAAGACATTTTGTCAACACTAACAGAAACTCTCATGGGACTGATGTCTAACAGTGGGTAAATAGACTGATGTAGCACTTTTCTAATCTCATGGGGCATCAGAGTGTTTAATACAACATGTCCCATTAACCTCTGTTTATACAAGCAGTTTTTTTTCTATGCTTAAGTGCTTTCTATCTAACACTCACACACATGCAAAACTCCAATAGATGCATCAGAGAGTGACTTGGTGTTAGTAGCTTGCCCAAGAATAATTGGCATCCAGACTGGAGCAGTCACCAACTTTCAGATTAGTAGATGCCTGCGCTACATCCTGGGCTAGATCCATGGAACAAGTAATATACAATGTGTGATGCATTAGTTGAGCCCACAGCTCATACAGAAACCAAACACACTGTACAAATTGCATTTTTATGCACAGTCCATATTTCAAAAGGCTCAAAATTATTTGAACCACTGACCGAAAAGCAATTTCATGTGAATGTGAGTTAAGCCATATTCAGCTATTAGCTATAGTTAACTCTAAAAGCCTGTTTAGAGAGAAAGCAAAAACTTCAGAAGAGGCCAAATCAACAGTCTGGTTCATTCTTAAAAAGAAGCAATGCCAGCAAAAAGGCCTGAAAGATCACAGAAGACAGGAAAAGTGCATGATGACAAAATTATTTCCATGGTTAAGGAAAACAATTTCACAACATCTAACCCAACATCTCATCCAAGAGAGCACGTAAGCATCTCAAGGGAGGAATTAAAACAGCCTTTATACGTGTCCGGTGACTTTTGAGCCTCTGAAAATGGGGCACTATGTATAAAAAATGGCTCTAAATCCTGAATAGTTAGTACAACATTTCTGTTAAAACCCTAGAATTCAAGCTAAAAGACAACACTTCAATTTCATATTAATCGGCTGAATTAAAATCTTTTGAGACAAAACTACAAAAACTGTGTTGCTGTCCAGATGTGTGCGCATAGACTGAACTACAGATTATGATTTGAGGCATGCTCAAATCATAATGTTAACAGACAACCCACTCTGCATCCTGAGTGCTAAACAATATTAATCTCATTTAACCTGCTCAGTGCTGTGTGATGACATACTCTCTCTTAATATGTATATGATGATAAAACCATTCTCAGTGTTGTTATATAATTATAATTCCCATATCAAAAAATGTAAGAGTTGTGTGAAATTTTAGTGCACTATTTTTAAAGACAGACTGTTTTCAGTCAAAATCACATTTTGTACATTTACATGATTAAAAGTGATATTTGTAAACTGATTTGATTTTCACATGTATTTCATAAAATCTAAATATGCACCGTGTTTTACACCACACCTTTATTTCTTGCATTAGTTCATTTAAAATAAAGAAATGACACTCACTGGTATCTTTGTTGTCATGCCACCTGACTGTAATGTTATTGCTTGACTACTGTGAAAATCATTATGACATCTTTATGTTTTGACTGACACATAAAGTCCAACATCAGTACAGTTTTTGCAAAAGTAACAAAAATAAACAAAGTTGACTCACAACTTTAATGTAACAATTACAGCCTCACTTTATTTTTTCACTGTGCGAAAATAATTTAATCACGATAAAACAATCTGATGTGTAAACATTAGGATGACTGTTGCATAGCTTCAATCAGAGCTCCATAAAACAAAAATCTGCAGAACTTTCAGAAACAGTCTGAGGTGTGCTCGTCTCTATACAAATACTATTTTTAATAATGACATAATAAAGAAATACAATAAAGCAAAATAAAACATTCTAAAGTAGCTATTAAAGCTTACTGAACCATTATTGCTGTTGTACATTACAGATTAGCAAGAAACAATTATGAGACCATAAAACCACAGCTCCCTGATGATGATGGTGACGAGTGCTTCACCAGATCTCAAACTGCTTGTGTTCCTTGAAGGCTGCTCTGTGCACGATGTTGTTGCTGTAGAGTCTAGAAAGAGACCAAAGCAGAGAGAGCAGACGTCACTCATTCACTCAGAACAACATGAATCCATGTGAGCTCAGACTGTGAATGATTCCTCTGAGAGTCTGAGGAGAAACTCCTTCACTGATGGGGACTGATTCATGTTGGCTCACCGCACACAGTCGATGGAGGGGTTGATGGAGAGCAGCTGCAGTAACACATCAGTCGAAGCATCAGTGATCTGATTGTGACTCAGACTGTAACACAAACACAACAAGAGGCTCTAAGTGATCGCTGCACATCATATTATTGTAGTGTGTGTGAACAGGCTGATGGTTATTGGTGCCTCCCAGAGAAGGATCAGTGTGTGACACTCACTCCAGGACTTGGACTTTGTGCAGATGTGTGATGAGAGGGAGCAGCAGCTGGTCAGTGAGCTGACAGTGACTGAGGTCCAGCTCTGTCAGCCCTTCACACGAGTCCAGCATCTGGACCAAAGACCCACAGGCCCTCTGATCCAGCGTGCTGTGACTGAGATCCAGCTCTCCACCCAGGGCTCTACACAGGGACACCGCCCGCCTCACTGTGTCCCTCTCACTGTTCACAGGAACCAGAGACAGCAGCTGCAGGAGGACAGTTTTACTGACTCTAAACAGGACAAACAGAGCAAAGAGAAACTGTCAGGATGCATCAACACCAGTGTGAACGAGCTTCTCTCTGGTTTAGACTCTTCTGTGGTCTTTCCCACCTGAGGTGGACCCTGTGGAGGACAGGAAACAGCAGGTCCAGCACGCTGTCCTCCACCTCACAGTCTCGCAGGTCGAGCTGTGTGTCCCGGCTGCTGTGTGTCAGGATGGTGGAGACGGCCCTGCAGTCATCAGCGGTCAGACTCAGAGGCTCAGGCTGATCCTCCTCTGGTAGCTCCACACAGGAGGAGCAGGACAGATCCAAGCTGTGCTGCAGAGTCCTCAGCAGGCCTGACGCTGCCTCCTGCTGGACGTCACAGGCAGCACAGCAGTGGATGAACCTCAGCAGCTGATTCCTGTCAACACTGCAAGGAAAACACACGGAGACAGAAAAACTGAAATTATAGATGCTGTGAACAAACTGCTATCTTGAATAAAATGTGTTGATCTTTGAAACTAAAGGATTTTGAGAACAGCATCTATGAACTAGCAGCAAATACATTATTGTAATTAGATGCTGGATTTATGCACTCTCATGTTATTAAACGAGTGACAAAGTCACACTGAGCCCAGTTTTACTGTTTGAGCTGATTGTGCATGTGGATGTTAACAGATAACAGCTTTAAATGAAAAAGGACTCAGTTTATACAATAACTGTGTTTCCATAATTTACTGCAATATAATCAGATTAAAGGCATCATTTGTCAGCAGTGATGAAGAGTAAAAATCTCCTTTGTGTCCAGGAAACCACAGAAACAGAGCGTGTTGCAGATTATTTTAATGGGTCCAATTAAAATGTGTCTGGAGGTTTATGAACTCCAGCCTTCAGCTTATTGTTTGAGCAACTGATAAAAGTAGCCAACAACACATTCATGTAATATTTCTAATTATAAAATTACTAATGATTAGTAAATATCATTCATTATTATTTGAAGGCAAAGTTAATTAATGATCGATTAATACAGTAAAGTTTTACTGTGAAACTTTTATTATCTGTAGTTAACATGACATGTTTTTATAATTTCTAGGTAAAGTACATTTACATCACGTTCACCCTGCCTGCTGCTGTTTTTTTTTTTTTTTTTAATTTTAGGCTTTAAAAATTTCCTTCTAGTTTCTTGTTCAGCTGTTCAGAAAATCTTTTCCACACAGTAAAAGTAAAATGTTAGTTTATAAAACAGTGCACTGTAAGTATGTTATAATGATCAAATTTATTTAAAAAAAATTAAATAGGTAAAGAAATGCAGTCCTCCATGACAGCGGCTGAATAAAGTCCAGTGTGTTGTTCAGCTCTCACACAGGTGCAGCACAGAGAAACGAGCTCTAATATCTGACCTGAGATGAGAAACTTTGTCCAGCATGAAGAGGATGGACTCTGCTCCCTCTGCTGGTATGGAGGTCCACAGGAGGTTCAGTTTGACTCCGTCTCCGTGTTTGAGGATGAAGATCAGAGCAGCACAGTCCACTGAGTCCAGCTCTCTGCTGCTCAGGTTGATCACATGACCAAGTGACCTCAGTAAACTGGGCACAGCGTGACTGTCATGAGCTCTGTAGAGCTCTCTGATGGAGCTCATCACAAAGCTGGGACTGGGCCTGAAAACAAACAGTTTATTTCCAACTTTGTTTAAAGGCTCCATAAACTGCTGATTAAAGATGAGACAGCATTTCAAATCCTCCTGATTAAACAGCAGAAACTGTGTTTGGTAAAAGATCAAACTACATTCAGCACCTTTTAAACACAATCCTGTCCAGAAAGGGAAGCAGACGTGTGGTTTCCTCCTGTAAGAAGAGGTTCTTCCTCAGGTTCACAGTGATGGTCTGAGCTGACGCCTGCTGCAGCAGATAGTGAAGAAGCTCCCAGTTCAGACAGCAGGAGGTCAGGTCTCCACCAACCTTACTGAAGAAGGACAACGTCAAGTCCTTGTCCTGGATTTCATGGAGGAGACACAGAAGCTGCTGGAAGCTCTCTTCACTCAGTCTGCA